CTATGGCTGTTGTCACATACTATAATGGCAGAGTTGAATAGTTGTGGAAGAAATCATACGGCTTGCGAAGCCTACAGTATTTAGTATCTGGACCCATATAGAAAAAGTTTGCCAACCATTGGCTTGGTCATTTCTTCTTCAGTAAATATTTGTTGAGTACCAATTATAGGCTAATACTAGACGTTGAGTCTCTAAAGATAATATGATATTTTACATGTTCTCAAGAAGTGAACAGCAAGTGTATCAGTCAGGGTCTCAGTAGTTAACAGATGATTCACTCAAAGGGTTTCACTGAAGAGAGTTTAATGAAGGAATTATCTATGGAGGTGGGAGCTGGATTAAAAGAAATCAACCAGGGATGGAAGCTGCTACTGCCTCTGCACCTGAAGGAGTAAGAGAAGGCCACATATTTCTGGAGCCCCATGATCGGTGAAACGATGAAAGAGGGGCCAACTGATAAGAGCTCTAGCTGTAAAGGAATGCAGCCATTGCTAGAAACTTAGCCAACGCAGTGAAGACATGAGGGCATAAAGACCTCCTAACTTCTGATATCCTACTGGTGTCTCCCTGTGGTTGAACCAAGTCAGAGCAAGGGGGCCTAGCTGAACTGACTTGTAGAAGGCAGGACAGAGCAGAACAGAGAGAGGTGGCTATTGAATCTAAGTGACAAACGAAGAACACCTGTAATAGTAGGGGAGCTGGACAAAGAATCAGCTTATTACCATAGAGCACGGCAGATGCTGTAAGACAAGTGAGTACATGGTGCTAAGGGAGCATATGTTAGGGAAAACTAGCGATCAGCATAAGGGAAGATTTGTTGGAAAAATCAATGCCTAATCCTAGTCTTGAAGAATGATGAGAAGATACACAAGAAAAGGGGATACGTGAAAGAATGCAAGCAAAGGCCTAGAAGTGGGTCAAGATTGTGAGTAGTTCAGGAGGCCCAGAGTGTAGAGGGACAGGACTGGAAGGGCAAGTGAGATCCAGGCCACTAAGGATCTTTTCTGGACTTTTATCCTGGAGGTTAGGCAGCACCATTAAAGGATGTATTTCCAGGCAGTGGTGTGATCAGACTCACATTTTGCTCATTTTTCTTTTGGAGCAAAGTTGAGAATGGGCTGGGGGAACATGTGGGAATGGGAAGGGCAAGAACAGAGAGAGGGAGGCCAGCTAGGGGTTGTGGCCATACAGGTGAGAAGTGATGAAAGCCTGAACACAGGCAGTGACGTTGGAGTTGGGAAGGAAGGGAGTACAAAGGTGCTGAGACATTAGAAATGCTCTGACTTGCTTACCAAGTGGACCTGGGTGTTAGGGAGGAGGAGCAAGGCTCAGCTCTCTCCCAGGTTTTGATTATGAGGTAGGCGACTGGAGGTACAATTCATGGTTGAGGTGATACAGGAGGGGGGTCAGGTTTAGGCGAGCATGGTGTGCGAGGAGACTGCATATTAGCCCAGGAATGATTATAGCAGGCAGTTGGAAATATGTATGAAGCCTCTATTCTTTTTTATTATTATTATTTTTTAATCCGGATGCTGAAGCTTTAGTTGCCTAACACTTTCCTCTCGCTGACTTCCTCATGTACCATCATGCACCTTGTTCACTGGATCACAGACTCCTTTTGGTTATTCTGCAAAGCTAGTCTGCAAAGTGCATGTGTTCTCACAATTCTGCCTTAGCCCTAGCTCAAACCTCCCTTCTAGGCTACTGCGTCATCTTTTCAAATGCTTCCCCTGCCTCCAAGCTTTTCTCCTCAGACCTGTTCCAGAGAGTGGTCTCCTTAAAGCATGGATCTTATCACATCTCTCCTCTGCTCAAAAAGTTTTGCTTGTTTTGTATTACCAATAGCAGTGGTTCTTAGCAGTAGGCTGCTGACACAGTCTAGGAGGTACTTCCCTTGATCTGAATTATTATTAACAATTTGCAATAAAGTTTATACTTAAAATGTTCTGAAAATGTATATTATAAATATTTTAACACATAAATACCCTTCTGTGACAAATTAAGCTTGTTTTCTCTCGTGATCATTTCAAGATTATTGGATAGAGGAGTTACGGGAGAGGACATGTTGAGAGCCATTTGGGGATGACTCCACTTTGTCTTTCCAGTCACCTTTTCCATTGCAGGCTCCAGCAGCTCGCTCTGCTGGCACTGGGCTTCCCTTCTCCTAGGCTGGTTCTGCCTCTTCTGTTCCTGGTGCCTGTGATCTCACCCCCTTTTATAAATTAGCTTAAACCTCATGAGTCCCTATGAATCATTAGCCCCATACCCACCCCTGTCCGGTTGGCTGAAATTTTTTTTTTAATCTTTACTCCCTTAGGACATTGTGTAAGTCTCATTTTAGCACTAACCATTTCTGTCTTTTTTTTTTTTTAAAGATTTTATTTATTTATTTGAGAGAGAGGATGAGAGGAGAGAGAGAGCACATGAGAGGGGGGAGGGTCAGAGGGAGAAGCAGACTCCCCGCCGAGCAGGGAGCCCGATGCGGGACTCGATCCCGGGACTCCAGGATCATGACCCGAGCCGAAGGCAGTCGCCCAACCAACTGAGCCACCCAGGCGCCCCTAACCATTTCTGTCTTGTATCAGAGAGAGCTGTGGACCTGTTGGACTTCCCTACTACACTGTGAGCTCCATGAGGTCAAGGACTACGTGTATAATTTTTGTTTTCTAATAGAATTGTCCACTATAGTGCTGTGTACATTATAGATACTCAAGAAATAGTTATTGAAGCTGTCTTGGATTATTGCTTTTCACAGACTATATGTTTACATACATTCCAAATATATTTATGAGTATTTATCTGTTTTTATTATATTTTCTATGTTCTAGATATATACCCATTCTAGGTGGGTATTCTTTGCTGTATAATAGGTGTATCTTTTCCCACACTACAAACAGGGCTGATGTTAATATACACTTAATGAGGTTTTTTGTCATTTAGTGGTTTTTCATCAAGGTGAGTGAAGTTGATTAAGTTGGAAGAGGGTGCAATGAGTTATTCAAGTTCATTTCCACACAGGGGTGATTGAAATGATCATCATTCCTTGCATTAATCAGAAAACTTGAAGGAGAAAACAGGATTTTTAGAATTGTTTAGATAAGGACAGAGGTTCTACTGTAACAAACATTTGATCTTTCAGGAACTTTTTCTAGAAGTTTACTTAAGTGGTTATAATTTTTCATCCTGAAGTTTGCATTATTATTCAATAATTGTTTATCTCTACCTAATGCTTTTATATCTGGAGTGATTCTATTTTGTCAAAAAGTGACCTTGTATAAAATTGTTCATCTCCTCTGTGGCCTCTTGGAGACATCAGTGGAGATCTGGGTCTTCCCTGCTCTGTCTTTGCTGGAGAGGGAGTCTCCCACTTTCTTGGACCTAATATTCAGTCCCGTACTTGACTTTGACCTTCATTCCTTTCTACATTCTTCTTTTTTTTTTTTTTTAAGATTTTATTTATTTATTTGAGAGAGAGAGAGTGAGAGAGAGCACATGAGAGGGGGGACGGTCAGAGGGAGAAGCAGACTCCCTGCTGAGCGTAGAGCCCCATGAGGGAGAGCTCAATCTCAACTGAGCCGAAGGCAGTCGCTTAACCAACTGAGCCACCCAGGCGCCCCCTTTCTACATTCTTCTGAATATGACTGTCATAAGCTCCTTGAACTTTGGAAATTTAAAAAAAAAATGGGTTTACTGTCTGTTTTACTGACTGAATATATGTTTGCTACATGTTTGAATATCAGTTTTGCTGATTGGAACCTTGGTATTAAGAGTCATTCTTTAACGAGCAGCAACCTTATGCAGCCGTGCACAGCAATTGCTTTTTGATTGTTATAGACAGGTTTATGAGGCTTCTCAGAGTTTCATTTACACATTTAACAGTGGTATTATAGATATGCATTTGGCTTTTAAAAAAATATGTTTTTTTTTTAATGTTTTATAGGGGAATTCACAGACCCTGCGTTTCCTGACATATATTCTTTGGAGTTAGAGGAAGGGACATCTCTGGAAGGTGGCATAGCATTTTCTCCCAAAGAAGTATGTTCACATGCTTTCTATTACTCATTTGACTGGAGAGTAGTGGAGTTAAGATAATCCTAACTCAGAAGCTATCAGAGATCACCTAAACTCTTTTTGTAATGGGTCTTTTTCTAACTTGTGAGCATGCCTGAGTATACCTTTTAATTCAGTAAAGTGATGGCTAGAGGTGTCTGGCTCATGCTTGTGGAGTAGAGTCTTGAGAGGTGCACAGAACACACACAAGGAACCTATGGTCTCAGTTCTGCTTTCTAGAAAATTCAAGATATGACATGTTATGAAAGAAAGTTGAGGCTAACTCAAAAATCACTTATATTTGAGCCAGCATGTGCTTTATACTTATATTTAAGTGGGATATGTTTAATGTTCCTGGAATCACTACCTGAAATTACCAAAGATGTGCTGTGAGGATTTAAGACGGGTTGCTATGATAGTGGTTCTTTTTATAGGATCCCTTGATGTTTAGTAATTTAAGAACAACAAACAAAATCAAAGAGAGTATCTTTCCTGGAATATGCCCAGGAGCAAGGGATACCACTTGGCAAACATTCGGGGGCCATTTTTCATGTTTTTGCTTCTGAGATTTTGCAACAAAGTGCCAAGGAGAGAGCTTCTTGCTACCCATGATGAGGAATGTCATGTTGCTGCATCTTCCTAAACAAGAGTCAAATTTCTCTATGACAAATAGAGTATAACATTTTTACGTCAAAACACTTTTTACATTCCAACATAACTAGCATGATGCCTTGAACCCAATAGGTGTAGAATAGAATGAACTAAGTGAAAATAATTCATAACGCAATAAGAAAGCATTTTGAATGCAAGTACTGTCTTTAATTACCCATTTTTAGTGATGTCACTGAAGTACGCTTTCCTGAGATTGAAATCTTATTTTAGGAACAATGATAGCTGTTATTTAGCTTTCAGGAGGAAAAAGTAAAGGAAATTTGAGGACATGTTTAGATTTAAGAAAATGCTAAAGAGTAATTTTGCTATTTAAAGTACAATACATTAGTTGGGATATGTTTTATGGGTTCTGTGCACATGTGATTCATGTGGAATGATGTAGTCTACAGAGTTCACTCGTGTTTGTTCTAGCTGTAGGCAAGCGTAGTGCATGAGGTAGCAAAAGCTACTTTTCTGGCATTAGAGAAAATGAAAATTCTCATCTTATACACAACAGTAAGTATACTCAGATGTATACTATACTATATTCAATTTCTATAGGTTTCATCTACATTAATAAACAGTGATATTTAGATACCTTTAATTTTATTTTTTTTTGGAAAAAATTTTCTAATTTTTATTTTTTAAATTGAAGTATAATTAACATACAGTGTTATATTGGTTTCAGGTGTACAATATAATGATTCAACAATTCTTTACATTACTTGGTGTTTATCACTGTAAGTGTACTCTGAATCCCCATCACCTGTTTCACCATCCCCCTGCCCCCCACCTCCCCTCTGGTGATCTTCTGTTCTCTAGATAGATACTTTTTAGCAAGGTTACCAGGAAGAGAGAGAACGTCTTTTCTTTTTTTTTGAAAATTATCTTGCAAGTATTTTTCTTTGGCTTAATTTAGGCTATCAGATAATAGCAGAGTACAAATATTATTTAGATTTTCTTTTTATCTTTTCAGCAAAGGACTTTCAAGTGCATGAAATATTGTCAGGGTATTTCTAATTTGTCTTTCTAATTCAGAAAAAAGCATAATCAACAAGTGTATTGAGGAGATTCAGAAGATGTTTCTCTTTTTAATTTTTACAGTATTCTAATATCTCCTCAACTCTCACATGCCCTGACCATTTGCAATATTTTAATCAAGTGTGTCAATGATATTCTCTTCCTGCTTATGAAAGTTTATTATCAAAGTTAACATGAGAAGTTTAGAAGAGCAGAAAGAAAAAATAAGCAATAAATAAATCCTAATACTTGACAATGACCCCTGGTTATATATAGGGTTTGCTCTGTTTTTCTCTGTCTCCCTCTCTCTATCTCTATGCTTATATTTTTACATCTATAATTGTAATGAAATAATACTTCATGAATTATTTTTAACCCGTATTCTTTACTCAGTGTATCAATTAAAATGTCATGGATAGCTTTTTGTGTTTTGAATTAAGTATTCTAAATACAATTTAATTTTTTAGGGATGATCTATCCTATTATTTAATGGCTATATCATGTTATAGTCCCTTAACTAATCCTTCTTACTATGCACTTAAGATTTTTCCATTTTGGGGTCTTTATAAATGATGCTGTAGAAAACATCCTTGTAGATAATGTTTGCTTTCACATTATTTATTTTCATTATATCTTTCTAGAAGAAGAATAGTTGGGTCAAACTCTATGTACATATTTTAGGCTGTTGATATGTATTGCCAAATTGCTCTCCTAAAAAGGTTATACCAGGTATATTAAATGCCAGTAACAGTGGAAAGTGTTGCTCATTGTCTTTGTACAACTAGGTTGCATCATTTATATAGCATGCACATACAATATTCTGTCAATCTGATAGGTGAAAAATCATCTTAAATTGCGTATCTTGGATTCTTCTTGTGTAACAAACCACCCTACCACAGTAGTGATTTATTTGCTAGCAATTTGGCCTGGTTGGTACTGTTAAAATTCTTTTAACTCTCTGGTGGGATGAGTGGCCTCTATTCTTTTCTTTTTACAATATTATTGGCCAGTTTTCTGTTTTACTTTTCCTGATAAACTTTGGAATCATTTTCTCAAGTTTATAGCCATAAGTCCTATGGGAATTTTGATTCGTGTTGCATTAAACTAATAAAAAAATTTCAAGGAAGTGATTTCTCTATAAAATTGAGCTTCCTTTTCAGAAATAAGATTAGCCTTTTATCTTACTTATTATTTTTTAAAGATTTATTTATTTGAGAGAGAGAGAGAAAGAACGGGAGTGGGAGGAGGGGCAGAGGGAGAGAATCTTCAAGCAAACTCCCTGCTGAATGTGGAGCCTGTCCTGGGGCTCTATCCCAGGATCCATGAGATCATGACCTGAGCTGAAACCGAGAGTTGGATGCTCAATGGACTGAGCCACCCAGGCACCCCAAGCCTTTTATTTTATTATTTTATGCTACTCAGCAAAATTTTGAAATATTTTGAAGTAATTTTGCTATGTTCTTTTGTGCTGTGTAAATGTTTGCATTTTATGTATTTTATGCTCTTAAATTTTGAAAATAATGTTGGTGAGGTATATATAAAGCTGTCTATCTTGGGGTGGGTGGGTGGCTCAGTCAGGTAAGTGTCTGACTCTGGATCTCAGCTCAGGTCTTGATCTCAGGGGTCGTGAGTTCAAGCCCCACATTGGGCTCCACGCTGGGCATGGGGCCTACTTAAACAAACAAAACAAAACAAACAACTGTCCATCTTACTTTAAGCTTCAGTTATTTTAAATTATCCATCAATTTATTTTAGATTTTTCAGGAATACTGTAATAGACTGCAAATATTGTTATTTGTCTCTTCCATATTAAATAATTATAATTTTTACCTATTTTTCTTATATTGTTTAGAATTTCCAGAACCAGGTCGCATTATTTTCTTGGCTTATCTTATTCCTCGTTTTCTGTGAAGCATCATAATGTTTTAAGCTCATGTTGGGAAATATCTTTCTAGTACTAATTTAATACAAATTTTAATCCAAAATAGATGTAGATTTTTTTAATTAGTCAAATATCTTTATGCCATCAGTCATATTATTATTCAAAGGAGGAAAACAGTTTGATACATAGTTCAACATTATATTTGTAGCATTAGTATATTTTTGGCACCCATCAGACAAACAGTAAGTATCCATTCAATAAGTAAATTAAAATGCAGCGCATAAATCTGCACATTCATTTTTGAGAACTTATTCTATTTTTTTCTTTTGGATAGTTAGAATTGAAATTAATGAGGAAAGGGTATGTGCATTTTAATTATTGGCACATATAGCCCCATTGCCACCATAAAACTTGTATCAATTTATATTTCCATTGATAATCATCCACAAATATTTATTGAGCACCTACTAGCTACCCTGCGTTCTTCTGGACCTTGAGGTTATAGTAGAAAGCTTACATCCTAGTGTGCTAACATGCTGTCTTTTTTTCACATCTTCTTTATATTGGGTATTATCATTTGCCAATGTAAAACACATGTCTGACAAAAGTCCAATGTATCTGTTTTTCTTTTTTTTATGGTCACTTTTGCTTTTTGGTGTCATATCTAAGAAGCTATTACCTAACCCAAATCATAAAGATTTCTGTTTGCTTCTAAGAGTTTTATAACATTACCTCTTAGGTTTAGGTCTATGATCCATTTTGTATTATTTTTGTGTATGCTATAAGATAAGAATCTAGTTTCATTCTTTTGCATGCAATGTCCATTTGTTCCAGGAGAATTATTGAAAATATTTTTTTACCCCATTAAACTGCCTTAGCACCCTTGTCTAAAATCAGTTAAACATAAATATAAGTGTTTATCTCTGGAGTTTCATTTCTGTTCCATTGATCTAGATGTCTTTCCTTATTCTAATAACACAGTGTCTTGATTAGTATAATAAATTTTGTAGTAATTTTTGAAATTGGAAAATGTGAGTCCACCAATTTTGTTCTTCTTCAATAATATTTTTGGCTAATTTGTGTCCCATGCACTTCCATATGAATGTTAGGATTACCTTGCCAATTACTGCAAAAAAAAAAAAAATCCAGCTGGGATTTTGATAAGGATTGTGAAGAATCTGTAGATCAATTTGGGGAGTATTACCATCTTAACAATATTAATTCTTCTAATCCATGAACATGGGATGTTTTTACATTTATTTAGGTTTTAATTTCTTCCAACAATGTTTTGTAGTTTTCAGTGTGCAGAATTCCCACTTTATTAATTTTATTTCTAATATTTTTAATGCTATTGTAAAGGAGATTGTTTTCTTAATTTCATTTGCAAATTGTTCATGTTAAGTGTATAGAAAAGCAATTGATTTTAAACATT